CAATGATAAATGTCTACTTTTAAATGTAAGAATGCATGTGCTCCAAAAATAGGCTCTTTATCTGACTACAAAGTAAGGTAGTAACTCTGGAAAAGAATGACTAGGGCAAAATGGAAGTACATAATACATATTTCATCCTGATATAATGCATGATATAATCTTCTATAAAATAACAGTAAGCCTGAGACATGCATTTGGTACAATCCTTCATACACTGGTCAGGGCAACTTCATCCCTTATAAGAGTCGTTGGGCTCCGGTCCCAGTTCTAATTTCATCTTTCTGCTAATGCAGAACGCTGGAAGAAATCAGTGAAGATTTAGGCAGTCAGGTTCCTATCACGCTTTTGAGACACTGAAATTGAGTTCTTGGCTTCAAAGTGGCTTGGCTATTGCAGGGATTTGAGGAGTGGATCAGCATGATGGGGCAGACATGATTCCTACCCTGGCCTCTCTTCTTCCCTGTCTTCTCAAACGAACAAAGGTTTTAAAAAATAGATCAAATGCAATGCATTTCCCTTCCCTCTAGCTATGGTTGTATAGTGATATTTCACAGACACTGTTACTCAACTTTTCTAAGGAACCATAGTAACAATCTATCTTCCTTACAGCACAGGTTAATATTGAGTGGGAAAACATACGTTGTCATCCAAGACAATAACTAAATCACTGCTAAAATTATCTCAAATGTAATTAAGCATATGATATAAAACTATAGAAAACATCAGCTTGTAAAATAGCTCAATAATAAGTAATATTCCTAAAATTTCAGTGAAAGACTTACTAAAGCTTTTTATAGAAATTTTCAGATATCACTTACAAAATGGATACTATGGCTTGCTTACCAGTAGGGTTTTCTCGAAATCATGAACAAATATATATGAATATATATACACAATTTTGAGCAAAAGCAGTAATATATGGACTGACATACACATTTATATCATAAGAATATTGTAAAGTACATAATAAAATGGTTATCTTTCCACTATTAAGATAACATGATACTGGCATATCAGCTGACCAAAGATTGCATCAAAATCAATCCCTCAAGCAGTTTAAAAATAAATTCAAATATTTAAAATTTATACAACATTAACAGAAATCTGTGATAAGCCAATGCATTTCATTTACAGCAGGATAACATCCTAAGAATGGGAAAAAAATAGAACTTATACAGTCAACACAATGCTTGAATAACAATCATTAGAGTCATTCTTAATAAAAGCAATAGTAATTACACAGTTACTTAACACTAAACTGAAAACTCTAGCCAAAACAATAAGCTGCACTCAAAATTTAAAATAGAGTGATTTTATAAAAGAAAAGTCCAAAGTATCTAAAATACTTATATCTTTTGCAAGTAACATGGTTTTCTGCCTAGATGGCCAAAATAATTGGTGAAAGAATACAGCTAATAAGGTGAAATTTCAAGATAAAGCCACAAAATTTATTTTCTGCTTTGCAAATGAAACCAATTCAAACATATTAGATAGCTGGTATCATTGATATTAAAGGGCCACACACCATTTGATCCACTTCGCCTACAACAATTTTCTTTATCTTAAGTCATTCCCATGAACTAGATGTGTATTATAAATTTCAGTCTGCAGACAAGAGAGCCTTGAGAAAGTAAAGGATTTTCCCAGAGTCACCCATAGTGCAAGATGTGGAGCTGGTGAGGAGCAGAGGGACCGAAACTAAATATTATATCACCACTTTCCCTCGTGAAGCCTTTATGGAGCCACATATCCATGTGTTGAAACACTTACCAATTTGCATAAAGAGTTAATTGGCAGCAATTGTTGACTTTTATTACTTGGTGAGACCTTGGTCTTAGGTAGTTCAGAAGCTTGAAAGTCATGTCTCCCCCACCAATGGGGTCCTTTCTGCCCACCAGTTAGTCAAATGATGCTCACCTATCATCACCTGGAAGCTGAGAGGGGGCAGTATTGCATTGTTGCAAAGCCACTCCTTTCTCAAGCCCCCATAAACATGGTCTCTCTCTTGGTCCCTGGCTTCCATTACTACTGCACTCCAACTCTGGCCCTCCCCAGTACCTGCTCGCTCTCTGGTTTCCCACAGAGTCTGACGACACGTAGCCCCTGAAAGTCTGTATCCCTTACCCTCTCTTCACTGCTTGGGCAAGTCAGTGAAGATGTGAATGCTAAGATGTTTTGCGATTCTAATTTGTGTGTGTTCAAGAATTCCAGGAGAGGTAAGGCCTAGCATTAAATGAATGTGGACAGAGAAGCCAGAAAGGTAAACGTTTGCAGCATTGTACATGTGTCTAGGTTGTTTGTTGCATTATCTCTTAAGGTAATTTATATTGCTGGGGAAGCTTGAACATAGGTCTTAAGTTTAACAAATGGATTTCATGGTAATAACCATTGGTAATAACCATTTGTTCCTCTCGATTTCAATTCAGACAGGATTGACTTTAAATTTGCTGATTTCCAGTGGGCACTGATTTCCAGTGGGCACTCCTTACTACACTGTAGACCTGTTTGGCATGATCTCTCTTACACCCTGTATAGCTTCTGCATGCACTTAATATATCAATCCTTGGTAAAATAATATACCAACTAAGAGAAACAGTACATGTAATTTTGAAGAACTTTTTTAGATCATGAGTTTAGACATGCAATGACCTCTATTACAGATATCTGTCATATTCAACAGAATCAAAGGACTTCCCATCAATGGTTATAAAAAAAATTAGGCAGTGAATTCCAAGGGAATTACTTCTTAGTTCCATCCAAGTATTTATAAATCAGAAGAACAATTTCATTTAATTTCACCTACCTGAAAAACTTGAAAACTTCTAATGAAGATGTATCCCAAGCAAAGATGGCACATTGAGAACAGGTAAAAAAACAGACAAAGAAGCATTGGACAAGGTAAAGAAGAACAGTGAAACACTGGATAATAGGCTGAAGCGGAGGGGCACCTGGAGACCCATGGACACTGGAAAGTTGCAGAGAGAAGAGCGGTACTGCAGAGAGCAGGACTTAAGCAGAAACCGGCAGTCGGAGGGCCACAGGCGGCTTACCAGCTGGGAAACGGGACTTCAACCAGGGACTCAAGAGCTAAACCCAGCCGTAGAACTGCCCATCCTGTCCTGCTGATTTGCTTAACCTGACCATAAGCACAAACAGAGTAGCAGAGCTCAAGCAGTTAGGGTGGACTTCACGGCTCAGACCTACAACAGTACCACATCCCATATCACTTTGTGTACCATGAAAAAAGCTGTGGGGACAGAGGAACAACAAAGCTGCACACGTGCTAAGCCAGGGAATTCATTTCTGATTCAGCACATTTCACTGGCCCAACTAGGAAAGCAGTGCCAACTTGGAATCCTACAATTTCCATCCAAAATACATCAAGTACCATCCTCTCATCCCCAACATAAAAGGTAGCAGATTCCAGCAAAAAGAGAAAAGAAAAGGAAATATAGGCCCGGCCTGATAGCCTAGTTGCCAAAGTCCTCACCTTGCATGCTCTTGGATATCATATGGGCACCAGGTCATTACCCAGCTGCCCCACTTGACTTCCAGCTCCCTGCTTATAGCCTGGGCAAGCAGTAGAGGATGTACCAAAGCCTTTGGACCATTAACCTGTGTGGGATACATGGAAGAAGCTCCTGGTTCCTGGTTTGGTTCGGCTCAGCCATTGCAGCACTTGGGGGAGGGAACCAGAAGCTGGAATATCTTTTTTTCTGTCTCTCCTTCTTTCTGTATATCTGACATTCCAATAAAAAATATATAACATTTTAAAGATTTATTTATTTTTAATTGGAAAGTCAGATATACAGAGAAGAGGAGAGACAGCAAGGAAGATCTTCCATCTGATGATTCATTCCCCAAGTGAGCGCAACAGCCGGTGCTGCACTTATCCAAAGCCAGGAGCCAGGAACCTCCTCCTGGTCTCCCACATAGATGCAGGGTCGCAAGGCTTTGGGCCATCCTCATCTGCTTTCCCAGGCCATAAGTAGGGAGCTGGATGGGAAGTGGAGCTGCCGGGATTAGAACTGGCGCCCATATGGGATCCCGGCACCTCTAGGCCACAGTGCTGGGCCCAACATATATAAATCTTAAAAGAAAAAAAAAATCTGTGCCACTAACAACCCTTTGTTATAGGACAACTAATGTCTCCCTAAGCACAGTTACTGCTGGAAGAGGCAGAAGGAGAAAGGCTGAGCAGGCAACACTGGCCACTGCACAGGACCACAGGGGTAGAGAGTGCTGAGCCAGGAGCTGGCACTACAGAGAGCATGGTGGAAGCCTCACATGACAGCCTGGGACTGAAACTTGCTCGAGTGAGTGGCACAAGCAACTGCAAACCAAGAACTGGGTACTGAATAGAATCAGTGCCCAGACTGATGGCAACATGGACTTAAAAATGGGCCTAAGGAGAAGAATCTTCTACCTGGAGTTGCAATCATCAAGAGCAAAGGAAGAGTCAGAAGCACATAGCATATTCCTGATACCTCCCGCACAAAGGAGCGAAAGCCTCTGTCAACCTCTGAGCTAACTGAGAGACATATCAAGGAGCTGGGGACATAAAGAATTTTTTTAAACTGTTACAAATTTCCTGAGAAAGAACAAGAAGCATCTCAGGACTATCTTACGAGAAATAGCAGTGTTGAAGCCAAATCAATAAAAATCATCAGAAATGAAGAACACAATGCAGCTAATCAAATACTTAGTGGAAAGGTTGAATAATAGAATGAGTGAAAAGAAAGAATCTCAGAATTGGAAATCTCAAAGAGCTTCACAAACTCCAGACTACATTTTCAGATCATTTTAAGTAAAATAAAAATAGTCTGTTATAAAAAATAAATTATTATAAAATAAATTTTACAATGACTATAAATCACACATAAAAATAAATTAGTATTTGTCAACTAAAAAACTAAAGCATAGATTAGTAATTCAAGTTTCTGACATCAGTAATTCACATTTGTATTAACTACTTACAAGGAACAATCCATTCCACTCACCATTTGGACAGATGTTTGGAATTTCATTTGAGGAGTTACCCAGGTAAAATTCCTGAAGATCTGAAAAAAAAAGTGATTTACAAAAATAAATAAAATGCAATTTATCTATCATTTAAAAAAATCTGTTTCCATAGTAATTAGACTCATGCTTGACTCCTGCATGAGCTTATCCAGATTCATAATCTCCATTTAACACGAAGGTTGCTTAGAAAGTAGCACATTTTTTACTTGTTCACACATCACTTGAAGTTCAAGGAGACAGCCTGCTGACCCTCAGCCCTGACCTCCAGGAGCCAGACTCTGCAGATGAAAGCAGCACTTCATTCCCAACTGAATCCACACTTCCCTGAACCAAGGCAGTGCACCAGCTCACTCTTACTTTCAATGCCATTTTACGAACTGTTGAGGTAAAATTACACTATGTTTCATGGTAAATCTCTGTTTTGAAATGCATGAGGTGAGATCATTTATAAGTTTAGCGATTGTAACACCTGTGGAAATGTATTTTAGGCCATGATTGCAAGGTAATTTCAGATATAATACTAGCAGCGTCAAATACTTTCATAAAATCAGAAGAACACGTTCTTGTTTAAAAAAAAAAAAAAATCAGTAGTTTTAAAAGAAGAAAACATAGTAGGCTCCAGAAAGGAGAAGTTTAAGTTGAGCTAAGACCTTAGCTAGAGCTGGTACTGTGACAAGATGCAAAGCCTCAAGGCCTCATAATCTTCCCATTTTAGTATTTTAAATTACCAAGGTCTCTGAAACATGCCAGGTATTGAGTTGAGTATTTGGGACACTAAAAGCATCCTAGAAGAATCCTTAGGTAGAAAGCTTAGTTCTAATAATCTTATTTCTTCAAAGCATTATATGAATATACTTTTCCACTCATAATTAACACAGAAGGAAATTTATGAAGAGCAGTTTTACCATGAGCTAAGGTTGTTTACCAATGTTCTTTCTTTAACCTTTGCAGTATATTTGGCTTCCAAAGTCTTCAGCTAACTATCTGAAAAGCTTTCACATGTAAATAAACCTATTGTGCAAAGATAAAGCTCTGAAAATCTGAAACATTGTTTTTCCATTGAATATTTTAAAAGGAATCTTCTATTTACTTACTGGTCTAAATCTGTGTCAGTTTCCAGGCTCAGCGTGAAGCTTAAAACATGTTGCAGAGATTAAAACTTCCACATGTGCAAATCAGTAAATAGATTCCACATGGAAGAGCAGAATAAAGACCTTAAGATCCATTCCGCAAATCATTTCTTAACTACTGTTTCATATGTGGCGCTGAGTTTAATGTTTTGCTTACAGTGAGAATGTTTAAATAGAGTATAAAAGGGCAAGACAGAATTTCAATCGTGATATAACACCCTCATTCTCCCTCATTTTCATGTCTCCTTCTTAAAAAGATGTAATCACATTTCTGTTCATTAACCTTAAGAACTATTCATGTGTTTAGAGTGACTTTCACTTGCGACAGCTGGTAGTTTCCTGCATGGCAAAATCATCTACTGAAATCTAGAAATAAAGATATCAAAAAAGGCAATGAACATACAACCAAGTTGCCAAGTTTCACTCGAAATCAAAGTTCTGCCAAAATTATAATAATTAAGATAAAAGATATGTAAACGTTTACCTTATAGCAAATGACATATTTTTCTTTCTGAGATATTCAGGAATCTGCCCACACAGCTCACTGCCTCCGCTCACTTTGTAAAAACCTCTCTTCAGTTAAGTAACAATTCCCTCTAATTTACCTCAGCTGATATGCAGGATACTGCGTTAGAGATGAATTTAACTAAACCAAGAGTACAAATTATATAATGTGATAAGGAGTTATTCAAATATCCCACCCTGGATTCGGCGCCATTTCCTCTTCCTCACAGCTGACGAAACTCGCGCCAGTCCAGCCATCCGCCAATCAGGCACTTCACCTGAAAATCCCGCCCCCCCAGCTCCCAGCCCCTCCCCCAGCTCCGCCCACTTACCAATCATTCTCAGGCAATCACCTGTGGCAGTCTCAGGCACCAATCCCCTGGGGGGAGCCTGGCCTCATCCCTCCCAGGCCCCGCCCCCCACACCTTGCAGGCTCACCGGCAGGTGACCCCAGGTGCGGCTGTGTCTCCCTGTTCTCCTTCCCTTCCTTCTCACCTCCCCACCCCCCTGGCGTGCTCCTGCCCACTGGAATAAACCTTGCGTCTGGTGTTTTAGGCTCACAGTAAGAACCAGGTTGCGGAAATTAGCTGCGCATAATAATATCGTAATAATATCATAATAACTAGAACTCAAACTTTTTAAAATAACTAACAATGTACCCATCGGAGAACATAATAAGAGAATTATCCCATTCATCTTTTCTTTAGTAAAAAAAAGATTTATTCTCTTTTTATTGGAAAGTCAGATATAAGAGAGGAGGAGAGACTGAGAGGAAGATGTTCAGTCTGTTGATCCACACCCTAAGGGCTGCAACAGCCAGAGCTGCACAAATCCAAAACCAGGAGCCAGGAGCTTCTTTGGGGTCTCCCATGCAAGTACAGGGTCCCAAAGCTTTGGGCCATCCTGGACTGCTCTCCCAGGCCACAGGCAGGGAGCTGGATGGGAAGCAAGGCTACCAGGATTAGTACCGGCGCCCAAAAGAGATCCCGGTGCGTTCAAGGAGAGGACTTTAGCCACTAGGCTACTGCACCAGACCCTATCCATCTTAAAGGGAAGACCAACTCGGCTCAGCATCAAGCCTGAGGTTGTCTAGTTGTTGATCAATAGAACTGAATTTTATTAGTGCTTTTTAATGGATTTTCTACATTCCATGACTGAAGTATTTCATTCTTTCCATCTCATCTACTTTATCTATAAGGAGAACTTTATCATAAAATAAGTATATACTTGAATATAGCAATATATGTATTACATAACACATATACATATGTATACATAGTGTGTATTGTGTGTATATATATACACATATACACATATATATATACTTTATATATATATGTATATATAAAGACCACCTCAAGATTTTTATAGGAGTTATAAAATATATGTGTGTGTATATATGTACGTATATGTACACACGCACATTATTTGGAAATATGTCAACCTAAAAATCTGTGTCTTCCGCGTCTGGTAAAGAACCACATTACAGAGTACTCACGTCAGCTTTTCAAAATTACAACTAAAAAACCATAAGCTATGTGGGCATGCTCTTTGGTTCCTTTCATACCATTTTCTTGAAGGAAATATTGTCCAGTAGATACAATATCTACTGTTTTTTCTCAATTATCTCCCTCTTCAGAAATCAAATATAATGTATCCCTTAGAAAAACTTTATAGTTCATTGTCTTGCGTTATGATCTTAACCTGTTGAATTCCATAATAAAAATCTTAGTTGTGGCATTAGAGTCTGGCAAAAATAAGCAAATATTGAAGTGTCTCTATAGTATCCTACTTTTGTCATAAAAGTTTCACTCTGATTTATATCCTTACAAAATATAGTACCAACATTAATAATACCTGTCATTTGATTTGCTTAATAATGTCAGACATGATCTTAGAAAAGATTATCTCCCTTATTTTAGGATTTCCGTGGTCAAATAATTCACAAGTGATGAAAATTTATTTTTCATTATTAATTCCAGAGAAAGTATTAGTAAGAAATCAAGTGTTTATCATGAAACCACTCCCGCAATTGATATCAAATGTACTTGTCAAAAGTCTATCAGTTATCACAAGTTTAAAATAGTCTGTTCAAATTTTAATAATGTCTTTGCTATTTTAGGGATTCAGGAAGGAAATGACAAAACTAACACAGACAATGGAAAATTCTCATAATGATGTTATTAGTTGTAGTTTACCACCTGCTCACTCTGAGTTATCAAAGAGTTTCAACCACCTATGTACTTGACTTAATTTACCTCCTAATAATACCATTCTGTCAGCTATGTGAATCACGCTGAAGAGTGATGGTTGTTTGGCTCTAATGAAGAAGGTTAATGCTGGGTTCCAATGTTGCTGATGCTTCCAGCCAGAATGCAAAAGAAGAAAGTGACAAAAAGCACAGCAGCTCAGATGCCTGGAGAAGGTTCTATGGCAGAAGAATAAAGGCCATCTCTGGAGTTTTGTGGGAGTAACAACGTAGGCTATGGTACCATTTGTTAAAGCAGTGTGCCAAGGGGATAATATGGTTGTATTCAGAGGCAAGGAGAGTAGCCTATTGGGTTGGCCATTTGTTGTAACATAGATTTTAGCTAAGCCATAGTTAACAGGATGTTCTTTGAAATACTGGGTCCTCTCATTGGTGCTGCATCATGACAATGGCTCCCCCTGCATGAGCCTCATGAGTAAATCCCAACCCTTCCACATTTTCAGCCTCTCATTCTAACAGCTACTTTCTCATAATTCAGAAACAGATTTGTGTGTCTCTTCAGAATCAATACCCTCCTCGACCTTGTGATTATCTCTATTCAATGTGCCCCCCTCTTCTACATAGTGAAATTCTTCAGACAAAAGCATGGACTTCATTGTTTTAACACTTCAATATATTAGTATTGTTATTATTCTTATTATTTATTATACTGCTCCACTTTCACTTCCACTGTTTAATGGAAACTAATATGTAAATTACCCCAGGAAGATCCAGTGGCAACACCACACTATCTCAATGAGCTCTTGCCCCGTTCTTTTCTTCATCCTAATTACCCATTTCTGAAGGTTAATGTTCCTAATGTTATTCTTTCTCTCAGTATATTGCCTCAATTAGCATTGCATTAATTAAATGCCAATAACCAACAGATTCCTACTTATGATCCTGTTCCATCTTCTGAGCTGTAGGCCCACTTACTTAATTACCTACTTAACATCACTCTCAGACCTCATATATACACTTCATACAAACTCTAGCTAAAGACAGCATGAAACATTCCTCAGCATTCCCTTCTATTCCTATTGGTTAGCAGTATCCCAATCAATCCACTAACTCAGATGTTTAATAATTCACACTGCTTCACGTGGTGGGGGGTATTGTGGGTCACTCTGACTAGGCGACAGCTCCCACTGGTTTG